GCTTTTATCATTCTATATGCTCCTGCGAGTGATCAAAGAGCTTGTTGAGCACAGCATATCTGTTTATTATGAAGTGTAGAGTAGCGTTTGGCAGCGAGAAGCTTTGATATGCTTTCACCTGCCCTGGTTCAAGTCAAAGTGAGCAGCAGAAGGGCAAAGCTTTTCATTCTTTTAAAGAGACTATTAGTGAGCTCTTGGATCTACAGGGTTCATTATTATTCCAAATAAATCTAGAAGGAGACTTTTTGATGAATCAAATTTAAAGTACTCAAGTGTTACATTTAAATTGAAGAAAGGAGGCCTATAATCCGAATGGGTGGGAAACAACTGATGTGCACTTGGATCTTAGAGTTTGAACAGCAAAATACAACAACAAATATGTAACCATGAGATGCATGAAAAATACTGATGGCCATTTCTGGTTGTGTGCTTCCTTTCTAAATTCAGAAGGAATCGGTTCTTATTACAGCTGTTGAGTTGTAGGCTACTCTTTGAGTGGATTCATGGACTTTTATCTCCACCTGCTGTTGAAGAAAATCACGCAACGGTTTTCATTCAACAGTTTTCTCAAATATTAAGCAATTCTTTTATTCCAACACTAGCAGTTATTCATATTTCATAAACAAATTTCAAATACAGATGCTACATCATATATTTGACAGTAGTCATCTGTCACACATAATGACATGATTTTTAGTATGCAAAAGCCTGAGACCATTAGTGAGAATGCTTCTATGTTCTAATTTAATACAGTTTTCCTTATATGAATTAAATATGAATTAAAAGTTTAATAAAAAAAATTACCTAATTTCAGAATGGCTTAGATTTGATCATCTGCTTTAACAGCAACACTCAATCTGCATGAACTCTACAAGTTTGTACAAAACCTGACGATCATGATGTTTTGTTCTTCAATGGAAGTAAAAACATCTGAACATACAAAAGGTCATATGATCAATGATCAACATCACTATACGTGAATAATTTACTTATTTGATTAGTGACCTAGAAATAGTGCAAAATCATAAATATTTCATATTTATTTATTTTACATCATAACTGTCCTCTATTTTAGATCTATTGAAAATCCTAAAACTTTCACTGCACATTTAGATGATGACAGAGCTGGGTAGATTACTTATAAATTGTAATCGTTACTGATTCCAAATTACATGACAAAGATTTTAGTTAGTAAAAGTTCATTACATTACACATTATATAATCAGACTAATTTTTGATTACTTTTAGATTACTTTTGACCTAACTCATTGATCACATTGATTTAAATAGAACAACCTTGCACCATATCGACATAAAAAAAGCAAAGAGAAAGAAAATATATTTATTTTGTTGTTATTAACAACATGAACTGCAATAAACGTTACATTACGCCAAGGTTTCCCAATGTGTGTGTGTGTATATATATATATATATATATATACTAAATAATTATATAAATAATAAATAAATTATGAATAATGAATTGCTGTTGTGTGAATAATATGTAATTGTGTAATCAATAAAAAAAAGTAACTGTAGTCTGATTACGAGTATTTTAAAATGTAATGTAATCTAATTACAAGTACTTAGTTTTTGGAATCTGATTAGATATTCCAGATTACATGCAGCAATGGATCATGAATGCCAGATGTCCACTGAGGTCTTTTGGATTCCATTGCTGTTGCATTACTCTCCAGACAGGGGCGTTGTGTGACAGTCGGCCAGCAGCATGTTACAGAAATGTTAAAGGTATACGATTTTCACACACACACACACAGAAACACAAACACAGTGGTTGTCATGTTTTATGGGAACATTCCATATACGTAGCCTAATGATTTTTATACTGTACCAAAAAAAATGATGGTAGTTTCAAACTATAATAGATGAAACAATCCAATAATGTCTAGTAATGGGTCCCATTACTTTAGACTACTTTTCAGGCATACAGCCATGAGACTAATATTACTGTACCTCTATTCATATATAGACGGCTCAGAGATCACCTTCAACTCTGCGTGAAATCAGCAGTTGTGTGTTTTCTTCTTCTTTTTTTTCAGCAGCCTTGGATCTGTTAGTAATTTTCCATTTATATTCTCCATAGGGATTTTAAGAATTCTTCAGTTAGCCATGAACCAAACCGAGATGAATAACAACACTACAAACCTTGAGTTAAAGCATGGAATTGCAGCTGAGTGCGGAATAATCTAGCTTGCGTGGGTTGTGCTCCGGCGCGGCTCCAGCGCGGATGAATCTAATGTTCTGAAGAGTATGT